TCTCTCTCTCTCTCTCTCTCTCTCTCAGCGAAGCCTGTCCTGAGCAACCTGTTCTAGCTATTTCTATGATGTTCCTGCCTTTTCAGTTTGCGCTTGTACCACTTCGCCTCCATGTCATCTTTGGTCTCCCTTTCTTACGTTTTCCTTGTGGATTGTTCGTCAAAGTACTCAAAGCTGTCGATTCATCACGTCCTAATACTCAATTTGTGTTTCGGCCGTGTTAGTTGTTTTTTGTTTGTTTTTTTTGGTTTTTTTTAGAAACTGTTGTTCAAATATTTTTTTACCACTTTAGTATATACGTATGGCACTTTTTGAGAATTTGTTTTGTCGTGTTTATTTGCTTTACTGTCTATGTTTGCTGGGCACAAAGACTTGAATTATAATACTATTTTAAACCAAGAAAACGTCTCTGACGACCGTGAGCACGATGGGCACTTTAAGAAGGTCAAAACATAAATCTCGCTCAATCCCAGTGAGTGTTCAACCTTTCCGCCCTTGCCTTTCACATGGTTCCTAATTGAGTGTAATGGTGTGCTTCATTGTGGACCGGAATTAGTCGCCTTTATCCAGATTTCGGGGGTTTCCAGAAATCTTGACCTACACCAAGAGTGGCCATTGTCCTACCTATAGGAAAACATTTGGTTTCATTGGTGTGTATATGTGTTTGGTTAAAGAGAAAACTCTCCTAGCCTTTTAAAGCAACTGAACAAGAGACAAAAACTTTAACTTCGATTTTCTCAAAACAGCCATTTTCGGGATAGCCCCCGTGTCCTTAAAAGCGACCAATTATGTCAGAGAGCACAGTCTTGGATATTATTATTCGAGTTAGAACGGAAAAGAATCTATCAAAGAGTCGTCACGACGTCTCTGAAACAGATTCATGTTTACTCCTTCCGAGTACGGTAATCTCTTTAGTCTTAGTAAGAGTTTTACGGCACTTGCAACAGAATAAACTCATATAAGTGCTGAAGATTAGAGAGTAACAAACGCAAAAAAAGAAGGAGGGGGGGTAGAGAATATAGATTTTTTAAAATAGGGCATCAGAGCACCCGCCAACCTCCCACGAGTAATCTCTGACCTCCTGTCTCCTCAGCGGCAGCATCATGAAAACACTGGGCGTGGCGTCACTGGCAATCTTGCTCAGCCTTTTCTCACAACATGGCGGTGAGTAGCAATCGACCATGAAGAAAGAATATTTGCTTCCCTCAAATCAAGCGTACTTTGCTGACCTTGGGCTTCTTCCTCCTCTCTCTCTCTCTCTCTCTCTCTCTCTCTCTCTCTCTCTCTCTCTGTTGTATATCTATCTATCTATCTATCTATCTATCTATCTATCTATCTATCTATCTATCTATCTATCTATCTATCTATCTATAATCACTTTGTCAAATAATTCCGCAATCCAGTAATTGTGTCAAAAGATAAAAAGTTGTGATATATTGTGCAATGCCTGGTATCATCATTCTGCCCGATGATTGTTCTACTATAGTCGCTTTGTTTGACACGTTTTACGCAAGACGGAACAATGACGTCGTTGGCTTAGTAATTAGGCTCTCGGGCTCGCATCGTAAGGTCGTGGGTTCGAATCCTGTCAGGCACCCGACGTTGTGTCTTTGGGAAAGGCGTTTCACACGAATTTTCCTCACTTCACCCAAGTGGGAATGAGTACCCGGCTATAGAAAGCGAAAGAGCTAGTCAGTTTGTTAGTGTTTGAGTGCATGCAATCTGCAGATTGCACTGTATGCTTCCCGGGAAGCTGAGAATGTTTCTGAGTGTTTTAGAGTCTGCAGGAGTTATAATATTGTTGTAGAGCGCGTAGAGCAGGCTGTAGAGCGTGGGTATTCGCTAAATAAATGCAATTCATAGTAGTAGTAGTAGTAGTAGTAGTGGTAGTAGTAGTAGTAGTAGTAGTAGTAGTAGTAGTAGTAGTAGTAG